GCCTCTGAGGCGGAGTGCTGCTGGTCTGTCAGGAAACCGCTCCAAAATAGGGCTGGGGTGAGCCGGTCAGCGACGTGGCTGCGGTGAAATGAGAAGAAGGAGAGGAGGGTTGTGAAAAAGGAGGGAAAGGCTCCAGCCCGCCGCGTTTGGTGTCCAAAGGAGTTGGCAGAGTTCTGGGGAAAGGCTGTCTTAGAGGTGGGGGCGCGGCAGGGGTTTCAGGGAGGTGTGTGAGATCCTGTGGTGCGGGGGTTTACCGGTCTTCATCGTAGACTTTAAACAGATTGGAAAATAACTTGTAGCATCATGCTATGATGTGTTTACAGAACTGTGGAAGAGAGGGGGGAAATAAAAAGCGACCTTTGCTCAGATCTGGATATTGCATTCAAGTAATTCAATTCGCTCAATACTAAAGGGATCTGGTTGCAAAACACTGACATTAGGAAAAGCCAACGTTTTCGCTTGTTTATGTTAAGTACAGCAAATGCCTGTATCGTGTTCTCATGTACTACTTTCGTTGGCTTTTCATTTGTTTGTTGTGTGTTTTTTTTTCTTCCTTAGAATAAATTATTTCTCGTGTTTCAATTTTTGGAGCGTGTTTGGCTTTTGTCTGGTCATCAGAGTTGGACAGAATATGGATGACATGGATTCGCTTTCCCTTTTTATTGTTTAGTATAATTTCTTTCCCATTTTCCAATGAAAAGTAAATGGGGATTTCCATGTATTCATGGAATACTTTTTTTTTGAAGTTGTTATTTTATACAGGTTAATGAATGATTCCTTCTATTCCTTGTTATGTCTCTGTGCTTGCTGGGTATACGCTGGGTTGGCCATCTGCCAGCCTTTGCTTCTGGGTTGTGGTCATGGAGCCATGTTAAAAGTTTACTTCAGTCTCGTGCTTTTCATTAGTGTTAAAATTTGTTAGTGCTGATACTGTATTTATTGTAGTTCTTGAGCTATTTTGATCGCTTTCCTGGTAATTATTTATATTTCTTTTAGGGCTTGATCTTATCATTTTAGCTTGCACAGAATTGTTTGCCCTGGTGACGTACCCAGTACTAAAACCCTGGAAATACTGAGTTGTATTATTGTTGCTTTAAACTTCCATCCTGTTCCTGTGGTGAAAGGTCTGGGCTAGTTTGTCGTAGGAAAACATTCACTTTTTTGGTTTTGTATGTTGATGAAGAGGAGGAAGTGTTCTTATTCTGCTTATATGTAACTCTTGTGGCAGAGCCAGAAGAACCAGCAGCTACTATAAAATTGAAAGTGAAATTCAGGTACAGGTGATGATTATGTTGACTGTTGATGTCAGTAGTTCAGCATTTGCTACTTCAGAGGAAAAAGTTTTAAGGTGAAGCTCTGGAATAGAGGAAAAGCGTCTCTCTGTTCCCTTTCATAAATAGGTGATATGAGAATGTTTTAATAAATGGAAATGTGCTTAAATTCTGCATGTATCTGATGTTTGTGTTGTGATTTAAGCCTGGTTTAATCATGACTACATATGCTGTTAAGAATCTGTATGAGAAAAAAACAAATACTTTTCCAATAGGTCGAACAAACTTGGAATCAGTCACTTAAGCAACTCTGCATTTTTATAGGGAGGCAAACAAGCAGCATGTGAGATGTCAGAAATGTTTAGAGTTTGGACATTGGACGTATGAATGTACAGGGAAGAGAAAATACCTGCATAGACCTTCAAGGACAGCTCAATTAGCGAAAATTCTTAAAGAAAAAGAAAAGCAACTATTACTGCAACAAAGGTAAGACTGGCAGAATGAAAATGTCTAGTTCATCAATGAATTGGTAATTTTGTAGATGGTGTCCTAGACTGTTTTCTGTCGTGTTTTCTTCCAGACTATGTGATGCTTGTTTAGTATTGGAGCTGCCTTGTACTTTAAGTGTTATGTGTGCACTCAGGTCCCACAAAATTAAAATGTTGTTCATTAACACCTGCTCATCTGAAATACACTTAAAACTTTTTTTGGTCTGTCTGAAACAAAAAAGTGCAGTAAGGTAGAGTTAAAATAGTTGGAGCCTTTTTTTTTTTTTTTTTTGTAATGGGATGCCATTTCCCCGAATTCCTTGGTTACTTGGTTTCATTTGTATGTGCTAGTACAAGCAGGTTGGTGTGAAGACAGTAAATGTATTTATAACAAAGAAGCAATTCTGTCACTTCTGTTTAGGTTTGCTGTTAGACTGTGCAGTTAAAACCTGGTTGTCTGGACGTGACCTGACAGTGGATCTGTGCCAGCACAGCTTCTGTATGTTGCTCATTATGAGCTATAAGGGTTAAACAGGTGAATGAGAGTTGGATTATTAGGTGCTTTTAACTCTCAAGCATAAAGTAAAAACATCTCACTGAATTGTGTCATTATTCCCTTTTTGACATCTGAGAAAGTGAAAAATACCTGCAGCTAAAAAGAAAAATCTTAACAAAACTCTGCGTGTGGAATGTGATTTCCTTTCTACTTGGCTCTGTGAGCAGTCTTCAATGCTTCCCCCAAGTTTAATAATTGTTTTAACAAGCAACTCCAGATGACAAAGAGAAGAATAATGCAGCACATTAGTTTTTCATGAAATTCCTATGGATGAGGGTCTCTGTTCTGCCACTGCCACTCAGTTGTAGCTGAAGAGTTGTTGCCTCAGCCCAGCTGAGGACAGGATCATTTACAGCCCTTGCAGCTAAAACCGTTGAGGATGTGGAAGCATGCGCGCTGTCGCTGCCACTTGCAGCTCAGTACGATGGCTGTAGGTCGTTAGTGCTGCCAGGATGTGAGTTATGGAAGAGAGGTCACACCTTTTGCTCTGTTACCTTAATGGGGAAATAAAATTGGGTGGTAATCTCTGGCAGAGAGGTCTGATGTGGCTCCGTCAGCCGTTTGAACTCAGGCAGCAGGATGAATCAGAGTGCTGAAATCCTGACTTCAGTGGAAACCCATTAGCTTGCGTTAAGAGTGACATAAAATGTTTGGTTTTGAAATTAATTTTGATACAATAAGTTATTCTGAAGCAATTTAAATCCCCTAGTATTGTAGATGAGAAATCAGGAGTGCTTACGCTCTAAAACCTTGGAGTGTTTGGAGGAGTTCTTCAGAGACTTAAGAGTTTTGAGACAAAGATTGAGTTTAAGACTCAGATTATTTCCTTGTTCCTTTCCTGCCCTGTTGGTGTTGAATTCTGCAGGTTAACGTTGGAGGTTAGTGAATTGACGGGGAAATTGCTCACTGCCTAGCCATTATGCTTGTGTGGAATAGTTTCACGTGGGAGTTACCGGACTGTCCAGTGTCTGTCGTGAATGGAGTTTTTTGAGCTGTAAGGCTGCCAGTCTGCAGTGTGAGGGGTGTGAGGTGTGAAAACTCATCTCATGAAAGTCATCCTTAGATGGGAGCAGTTTTTAATTCTGGTTACATTGGGCTGGATTCATACGGGTTATATTCTAATGCTAAGCTCTCTGAAGCTCCATACCTGTGCCACAAGGCATCCAGTTCTTTAGATGCCAATGTTACACTTCTGAGGATGAAGCTTATTCTTCATGGAAAGAACAGCTTCCTAGGTCACACTTTACTTTTTGTATAGCTTGCTTGGGAAGGTTATTTCTTTCTGCAGAGAAGTGGGGTCTCCTACAGGTCTGCTTCCGAGTACTTGTATCATCATCTTTAAAGAGCTTGTAATGAATCATTAACCAGAGGGCAAACATAGCCCAGTAAGGTTAATATTTACTTTTTGACAACCACATACAAGATTTTTCAGAATTAACTAATTTCAGCAGTTATTCCAGGATCCTTCTATTTGCTGAGTGTTGACCCCATGGTTCTGATGGACATTGTGGAGGTTTCACTTACTGGTGCCAGTAAAGCCCACTGCTTGCCTGCCCTGGAATAGGAGCTGGGAAGGGAGGAAAGGTGAAAAAATGCTTGTTCCTTAGTGATGTTACCGCACTGAACCAAAACCAGGATGCCCGAGTCTTAGTTATGGTTCTGAAGATGGTGTGGTGCCACAGGGAAAATGAGCAGGAGTCATGAAAAAGATTTTTGACGGGCGGGGAATTGACCCCATTCAATTGTGCAGTTCGTGGAGCAGCGAGCTCCTATACTTATCCATACGGTAAACACTAGAGGGAGGCATAGACCACGGCAGCCCGGGTTACAGACATGCTGAATAGGGTCCTGTCTTCTGAAAGGTGCTTTGGGATCTAATTCTGTTTACTCACAGTGACTTCTCTTAGCTGTGAAACACCTGGTGACCTATGACAAGGGTATAAGGCCTCAATAATATAAATAGTAATGGTATTCAGCAATACAGGAGGGATGGTAATTTGGTTTGAAATTAGAAGATCAATAGATCTTCCTCTTGCCCACAAGAGATTGTGGGGTGTGTGGAAAACTCTTTTATGTAGTTATAATATTGTGATACCATACATATGAAAATAAAACCATTTAAAAAATCTCATTTTTCTGTCATACAAATGGCATTGAGTACTTTTATTGAAATACAATCTAGTTTACACTTAACGCTTTCTTCTTTCTACGCTTTTCTGGAGTACATGCATACTGCTGCCTAACTTCTAAATGAAATGTATTTGCAGTTTTTACTTTTATTTCTGCGTATTTAATACGGCTTCCAATAATAGGTGTCAGTCCAGGAGAATGTATCCTGGTTCATGAAAGAACATACAGCTTCCTTATGTACCAGTGGCACATTAAGCATGTTGTACGCATACGATGAGGGACTATTTTAATCAGACATATACATCCCAGGTTGAATTATGTACAGTATACCTGCAGTGCACTGAGAAGAGCATGTGACTGGTACATTTAATAGAAAGAATTTTATTTTCTTTAAAAACAAATAATCCAGAGGTGAAGACTGCTTTAAAAAAAAGAAACACCTCCTGGTGTTTTGTAAAAGTAAGCTTTCTTCTGTGTCATTTACCGCTTAAACTTTCTGTGAGTGTGTAAGTGGGAATCTGAAAGACAAACAGCTGGAAAGCATCAATATAAATTGTTCTGTGTCCTCTTGTACTTGAAAGAAATACATGGTGAAAGCTACAGACTAATTCAGTATTTTATCCTTGTTTCAATCAATTCAGTCCTTGCTAAGTATGGGTTCACAGAACTTTTTTGTATCCTTGTCTCCTTTGCTTTTCCCATCCCAAAATATTCTTGTCTGTATAATGTGAAGAAAAGAGTAAAGAAGAGTAAACCATACTTAATGCAGAAAATTAGAGGTGAATTGTTGTGTCTTTTTTTTTTTTTCTTTCCTGATTTGTAGGTATTGTTGTTTTTCTGGTTTGAATAGTGACTGAAAATAGATGCCAGATGAACTCTGGGTGGTGTGGCTCTGCCAGTGGGATCTCAGTTTTCTGATATGAAACCCTCCTCCACTGTGCTGCTATTTGTTTAATTTTCCTAATGCATTAATCAAAGACATTGTTTTTTTCCCCCTTAATTAGCACCGGAGAAAGTACTGCAGAAAGGAAGACCAAGAAAAAAAGGTATGTGGGGAACGATGACAAACTGCGCAGCTGTTTCAGTGTGTGATCTTGCACTGGGTGTTGTGGCAGGCAGTTTGGAAGGGGTGTGTGAGGAAAGTCAGCACTGCAAACAGAGTTCTGATTTTACTTCTTTTAGCCTGTTACAGGCATTTATATGACAGGCATTTGGAGAATTTCTGCTCCTCCCTGTCCAAACCCTCTAAATTCTTTGTCCTCTGCTTTTCTCCCTCCTGATTGTCCTATGTCTACATGATCTTGCTTTAATAATAAAAATCTTTCTACTTCTGCCTCAAAGTTCATCAAATATATTTTAAACAACTGTGCAAGAATGGCATGCTGTTTTCCAGTCTGTAACCATTCCACCTACCCATCTTCTTCTTTTTTGTTGTTTTCATTCCCTTCTCATAGCAGCTCTCTCTTAAGCCTTATCTAGAGAATTAAATAAAGCATCTGAAAAAAACCAACCCCAAATCCAAACAAAAATGCCCAATCCCAGACCAAAACAAAATCCAGGAACTAAACCTCCCCCTCCCGCCCCCAAGTTCTAATTTGAGCCAAGAACTCTTTCTCTTTTGACATTATTTCCATTTCACTTTGCAGTAATGTTTTCTTGAGAATCTTAGCTCATAAATTAACTGATTTCTAACCATTGTAGTTCAGACCTCTTCTTGCCTCAGCTGTCTCATATGCTCTAGTCTACTTGGCATAATGATTTTCACAGTATTTGAGTTCTAAACCACTGCAAAAATGAAAACAGCAAAAGGATTTATGGTGGAGGGGGTGGTTTAGTTACTTTTTCTTTAAAACTCTTCTAGGTTTGAATTGCTGTCCTGTTCTTATGGAAGCACCAAATCCATCAATATAAATTCCTTTCCAGATAGTTTGCTATCTATATTTTTATTATGATACAGGAAGAATTAAATGCAGAAAATTCAGCAAAGTGTTACCATTGAATATATTTATGTTCCAGATTGAAGAAAAAAAAAAGGCAAAGGTGAGGGTTCTGGCAGTAGTGAGCACTAACCTTTTACATAGTGTATGTTTGTTTTGATATAAACAGTAATAAGTAAGCTACAGGCTTAACCAGAAAAACAGGAACAGGCGAAACGGCTGTTGTACAATCTTGTGACCTCAGGTGACAGAGCTGTCTTCTGGGTGCCTCTTGGCTTCCGTGTTCCCATACGGCATGTTTTGGTTATTAATTGAAAGCCCACTTCACACTTGGATCACATCTAAATCCACCTGTCTGAAGGGTACAATCATGTTCTAATTCACTTGTTTTTCCAGGCACCCAGCTGTGATTGTGCCTGAAATTGCAGATTCGGTTTAAGTATCAAGTTTGAAATCAGCTGGGCTTGGTAGATGATTGCAACAGAATTAGAAAGGTCAGAAAGCCTCAGAGAGGGGTGATAAGCATGTGGTAGCAAACGCAGCGGTTGTTCCACGATTGGTGCATGGAACATACAAGGTATTAACATTTGTGAACTTATTTTGAGGAGAATGAATGCGTGTCTGCTGGAGAAATTTTGTGATTTTACAGTGGTGTAGTAAACCCAAAGATCTTAGACCTACCAATCTATAGCCTCTGGGTTGTCACCTTACCCCATCAGGACAAGGAGTAGTAGTGATTTTCACTTGTTCCCATCTCTGTCCTCTTTCCGTAATTACCAACAGGCCGCATCTTGCATCACCTGAAAACAAGTGTCTGCTTGTTCCTTCTCTCGTAGATCGGCGATTGCGTGCCTCTAGGAGAAGCAGTATTAGGTGCTATATTCTGTGAGTGGGTTTCAGATTTTCACCCAAACAGTGCAGGTCCACGGACTGCTCTTACGGATTCTGTGAAAGGTGATTAGGAAAAGAAAGTTCAGTCACGGTTATTCAGGGGATCCTCTGCCCACATAAACAGAGCTGCACATCTAATGAAACTGGTTAGATTTAAACTACTATTCCCATATTTTTTTTCTCATTTTAAGGCTAGTTTTTCACAAACAGTAAATCTGTATTTAACCAGCCCATATGGATTTATCTTTAATAAATAGCCATTGTGTCTGCGGGCGCAGAGATAACAGATTACAGATATATTCTAAAAACCTCAGTGGTTCATAACTTTAACACCGGCATCCCGATTTGTCGGCTGGCATGACCATGGCTGATACGATGAAAAAACATGACTCCTACTTTAGTAGCCTTAACATAGGCATTTCCCGAGTTGTTATATTTAACCAAACCCTATGATAAGAAGTACTCCATTCATTTTCTAATGGAAAGAAGATTATGCATTACTATATCTAGCATTTTTTGCATGCTGTTTGGTTGACTTGGTGGGAAGTGGGGTGAATTAGTACCTTTACACTTGGTTTGGAGAAAGGTCTATGGGAAAGTTGAGTTGTACTTTCTCGGAATTCATATTGCCTTACTTAATCAGAGACCTTGCTCTTGAGAGCAACAGCCTCAGTAAGGGCTAAAAATGATGAAAAAAAATGCAGAGGATAGAGAAATCCACTTTGCTGCGTTGATAATTCTGTCTTTATCCTGGACTGTTTCCACCCATTCTCCTCCACCCTGAAAACACATCCTGTAGTGGCAGGTAATTTGGATTCTTTTGCCAGGAGTAATCTAAGAACAGTTTCCACTGAGTACAGTTCTACCATTTGTGAAATCACTGATGAAACTTCCACCGACTTTTACATTGCCAAAATTTCACTCCTTATTACAGCAGTGTGCTAGGGAACCGATCTTTGTTAATCTTTCCCTGAGGCTTTAATAGTACAGGACATTCATACTGCTCCTGCAGCCTTGTTCTTCTACTTAGCAAAGTCAGTAGAGACGCTTGTCACTGCTATGAACAAGATCCTTGCGAGATTTCCAACTTAATTTTTTTTCTGCAGTCCTGTTGTGGCTCACTTTGTGTACATGGTGTCACTCTGCTGTTGCTCAAATGTCCCAAATGTATTTGATCAGAATCGGAGGGGTGAGGATTTCTCTTAGATTGTCATGCCTGGAAACTTTCAGGCCAAATAACTGATCTTTGGATTACAACACAGTATAAAGAACACTGTGTAATGAATGCTGTCTCTAGCGGGCCTGTTCTCATCTGTGTATTTGTTTTCTTTCAGATCTAAAAGCGTGACCAGTTCCAGCAGCAGCAGCAGTGCCAGTTCGGCTAGCGACTCCTCCTCTGACAGTGAAGATTCTTCTACCTCTTCTTCTTCTGATGATAGTGACAGTGATGAGAGCTCCTCTACTTCCTCATCTTCTCCATCCTCAAGTAGTACTTCCTCCTCTTCAGAGTTCGAATCGGATTCTAGTTCCTCCAGCAGTAGCAGCAGCAGCACAGACAGTAGCTCTGATGATGAGCCACCAAAGAAGAAGAAGAAGAAATAGTGTGGTACGGTGTAGAACTGTTGGTTAGTGAAGGATAACGCTCTTCAGAGATGTTTTGAGCACATGGTTGCCAAACAGTTTAACTGGTCAACATTTCTACTGCTAAAACTTTCTAAATGTTTTGCATAGTTGTTCATAGGACATGAAAGGTATTAAATGGCAAGTGAGACTTACTGAAAGAGTATTTTTGTGGTTTATCCTTTTATGGAAAATTTTACTTTTTTAGTTCAAAAATCTATCATCAGATTTGTTTATATGAGCAAAGGTCCAGTAACCTGGATGTTTACATGCTGGAAAGCAAAAGCTTGTTATTGCAGATCATGCTGTGCATCATATGCTCCTATTCTGTTTATGACAGCTTCGCTTACATTTACAAAATCCTCTGAACTCTTAGAAGCAGAAGTTTCACACTCCTGGCTGTAGAGCACTGTCATTGTTGAGACTGAATGCACAAAGTTGCACACAGAGGGCCTTCCATCTCACTGTTAACAGATGTATTATATGCTGCTGAGCTTTTTTTTTTTTCCAATGGCTTTTCCTGATGCTTCCAGGTCGAATCTTAACTGCAACATAAAACTTCAAATAGTGTTCATTTGTTAGTGATCAGTAAACTACTTGTACTGTACAGAGGCTTCAGTCCTTTCAGCTCCCCTGTTTCCTTAGCTCATGTACCTGTAGTATTTTTTGAGATGCAGAGTGTCTCTTGCAGCAGGGTCTGTGTAAGAAGGAGGAGCAGTGCACAATGGAAGAATTAAGACTGATGCTGCTTAGGAGTTTCATCTTTGTGCCTTTTTTGTAAATTAAATGTATCCTAGTGAGAGAAGGGCTCGAGTGGGTGTTTTTCAGAACTCCATTAGCTTTCCATACAGAATGCGGTCAGTAAAAATAGAGAAACAGTAGTAACAAACGAAAATGGGCGCTATTTTCAAAGAGGAAGGAAAGAGGCTGTTTTCCCTGGATGCTCAGTAAGAAAAGGAGTTGCCTTTAAATAGAGATCCTAGAGGAAAGTGTTTCCCTTTTGATATTTTTGCAAAAATTGTTGTGTAATGCAAGATTACCAGTCAGTGGTGTTGGGCACGTGGTGACTGGCATTATCGTCTGCAGTATAATCAGTCTGTTCTTTTTCTGTAATAGTGTGTACGTGTCTGTGAAAATCTGGCATGGGAGAAGCAAGGTAGTGCAAAAAAACCCCAACCAACCCAACAAAAGCAAAATCCCAACATACTGCAGAACAATTGGTGCTGGTTGCAAGTTGAAAGTTATTTGGGTTTTTGGTGGATTGAAGCAGTTGGCATTAGTATTTTAATGTGTGATGCAGTCCCCTAAATTTCTTATTGTTGGAGAGCCCTTTTTTGGGGAGGGGGCATCACATGTGAAAGAAGTCCTAAGTATCTTGGTTTAGGTAAAATATAGTAACTAAGCTATTTTTTATATTTTTATGGAAAAAGTAGTGTGTAGAATTCCTTTTGAATAAACTGTGCTTATTTAAATGTTTGAAATATGTATGTTGTGTGTGTTAGTCTGTAATTATTCCTGTGTTTTACAGAACACTCTGCAGACTGTAAATAAAATTACCAGAACATTGTTTAAGTCGTCTTGAGTGAATGTACCAGTTAATGGGAAAGGTTAATAAATTATTAAACAGCAGTTGCTAAGTTCATGCTTACTGCAAATCCAAATGTGGTACGGTAGTAGTTAAGCTTGTGTGTGGATTTCTAACAGTGCAGGGTTTAGGGCCGTCTCGGCAGTTCAGCAAGCCGTGTGTGATGACTGAAGGAGGTGTGGTGGCCAGCTCACTGTCTGTGACCCCTCCATTGCAGGGGGACAGCTGGAAGAGGGGTGCGCAGCCCGTCTGGGTGGGGATCCCCTGCTCCAAAGAACACGGGGTTCAGCTCAGCTGGCGGGTGGATGTGCAGGAGGGTTGTGATGAGCAACAGGCGGTTGTTCGGAGGGGGGAGGATGGGGATTGATGGAGATTGAGGCTCTTCTGCCTTTGCCGTCCTGTGAAGACCATCCTGTACGTTCATTTCTCTAGTGCTGCCGGTGTTTGTGTGGAGATGGTTTGGTCAGAAGCATGTTGATTCACACCAGTGTATTGCTTCTCCCCATTGTCTCTGCCAAGAAAAGTTTGAGATTTAGACAACTATTAAGTACTAAAGCTTTTTTTAAAAAAAATCTTTAATTTCAAAGACAATATTTTTGTTGGGTTTTTTTAATTGCCCTTTCTGTTTAATTTGTCTCTACATATTCTTATTTTACAGAATAAAACCCACCAGCCTGTCAAGAGCCTTGCCAATTCAGCTTTCCTTAGATCACATCCTGGTATCTCCCTGGATGCTTTGATTCAAACTTTTTTCAACAGGAAAGGTATTTCTTTAATTACTGGTTTCCAAAGCTCTAGGTTAAGTACAAAAGATCATTATTTTTTTTTTTAACTCGCTGGTTAGGAATTGTTATATTTCCCAAGCTGTTGCCCAAGACCTCTGGAGCCCTGAACAGCCTCAGTGTAATTCTTCCCATTACAAGTAAAGCTGCCATTGCTAATTGAAGGGGAAGCAATTGATGCAGTCTAGTGGAAAAACAGCCGCAGGAAAGGCATCACATTTCAAGGAGAAACACTGCGAACTGCTGGGAGAGCAGGAGGAGGGAGTGACAACTCGATCTCAGTCCAGGCCTTCATTAAATCCAACATCTGTCAGTCAGGAACAGGTTTTTGGGTGCCCTCAAGGAAATTGCATTATACAGTTGCTTGTGGATTGATTTTTTTTTTTAAGGGAGGAGTCCTTAATAAATACGACTTTTGCTATCAAATGGATTTGTTTTATAAAGAAATGAGTCAACATATCTTCACCCCATGGGTTTAATTTGCTTTATGAAATTATATTTATCCAAGCTGTGCCTCTGTCAGCTGTGTTCAGAGCAGATCTTCACAGCCTGATTCTGTTAATTGAGATCTGCAGGATGGGGGGTTAATACAAAACCATAATACCAGAATATAAGTTTGACTCTTGAGATGTGGTATATCAAAAATGTCCTGGGCAGGACGTAATTTTAGAAACATCATTGAAACCTGATAGGAACAGGGGTTTTTTATTATTTTCTGTGCCTTTCTGTTCTTCATAGCAGTTAGTTTCTCAAAGAAGCTGCCCTGCCCGGATAGAGGAGGGAGGTTATGGGTGTGTGTAATTCTCAGGTAGGTCAGGGTTCTGCCCCAGCTGGATGGTGTTTGGCTGTGGTGCTGGGTGTATTTTAGTGCCACAACGAACTTCGGATCTAACTGCCAGGGAACATAGTGAGGGACTGTTTGAGACTGGCTCTAGACTTAAAACTATTATTGTGTCTTTTTACAGCATTTGTGTATGAAGGGTCTCTGCAATCATACTGTCAGAAGCAACATTTTTAAAAGAAGATTTAGATTCTGGAGTTTGTTACGCTTATGGAGAAAAAAGGCTGTGTGGTGGTTTTGTTTGGGTTTGGCTTTTGTTTGTTTGTTTGGTTGGTTTTTTTTACCTTTCTGCTGCACTTGTGTATTTCAAACAAAGTATTACTTTTAAAAATATGAACCCAAGGTAGAACCATGTTCTGGTACATTTCAGTATATGTAAGATAAGTAGGTTTTGTTTAAATTCCAGATGTTTATTCAGTACAGCTGTAGGTTTTTCAGGAATAGCCTCTAAGGGAGATGATTTTTGGTGACATTGCCGGTGTAGCGGGGTGGCTGTGGGGGTCCCGTGGAGCCACTTGTGCTTCGGTGGCTCAGTCCCAGCCGTGTGTGCCGCCAGCTGTGCTCGGCTCTGATGGTTTGGGTCAAAATTGGGCAACGGAGCCGCTTGAGGAGACGAGAAACGGGGTTTGATAGAAACCTGCGTCGCAGGGAAGGGGCTCGGGAGCAACCCCCGTCCTGCAGCGGGGGTCAGCAGCGGGGAACGACTCGGGAACAATCAATTCCGT